AGACATACTGACAAAATGATGAGACTCACTAGGGAAGAAATGAACCGAAAAGACGGTGTGAGTAGAAGGAGAGATTGGGCAACTAGATGAAGACGCGACCTCAGACTCTGAAGGCAAGGCAAGTTAGCATAAGAGAAATGAGGCCTGGGGCCCTCCTATTTATAGCCACTGTGCCCTCAAATCGACGGCTAGGATTGAGACAGATTTGACGGTTCGCAGTCAAGCTAACCGCACGTCTTCTAAAACCGAAATGTGATTGGCTGCACGTCTCCCATGATTAAGGTAATGACAGCTGCACGCCTTCCAGAATTGAGAGCCGCTTCTGCACGTTCTTTTTGGCACTCAAAAGGTCTAGAGACCCCCTGACTTCTGTGCGCGCATTTAATGCGATTAGTCAATCAAGTTTGAACTTCGGGTCAAATCCACCCGTCACACTTCATGAACTCCTCACACTAAGGTGGCACCCTTAGCCGGAGGAGTGGGGAAAATTGATGGAGGATAATTTGACCCGACCCCTTAAGACGGTGACACGTGAACATGACTCAGCACAAGTAACAACTCAGCATAATAGCCTTACCGCGACTAAGTAATGAGCCCGCAGGACAGCTCGCTACGTCACAACTCGCTATAGAATGAGCTTGAGGACCCCCGATATACTAAAAGGGAATACTCCAAGACAAGTCTACCCCAGCTCACTCCAATACTTAGGCAAAAGAACTACCTCAAGGGCCACTTCAAGAGGAATCACCCTGTAGTACCCTCAGGAGCTCGCTACAAAGTAGCTCGCGACAGGATAGCTCGCTACAAGGCAGCTCGCGACAAGATAGCTCGCTACAAGGCAGCTCGCTACTAAGCGATGCAATGTTTTCAGGAAGCTTCTATCTGACAAGACCGTACCCGTCAGACTGCGCCACGTCTCCTGACCGATAGCGCAGTCCCTGCCAGCCCGACAAGTCTGCGCCCACATCTCTTGACAGGTGGTGACATGTCTGTCCTTCCGGGACGTGTCACTCATCCGATTGGGTAGTACACTACAATGGTTACCTGCGCAACCCTGGCAGATAACGGCTGCGACAGAGGTCCAGTGGCGGTTACGCCCGATTTGACAAGAACGCTCATATATAAGAGCCCCCTAGTTGAAGGGAAGGGCTCTCTCGAATATCTGATATCATAACTTGAATATCTCAAACTTTCTCTTGAGCTAACACAGTGATCTAGCGCGACCTACACTTTTAGCCTTCTTTACACTCTTTACTATTTTCTCCAGCGTTCTAACTTAAGCATCAGAGTATTCCCACCGAGCAAGTCCCCCGGGAATCCTTCACCGCTCTCTTCTCAGGTATTGTCCGTCGCCAGCGAGGAGCCAGTCATCTGCCAACTAGGAGTGTCTGGATTGCGCAGCATTAGTTGATAAAGAAAATTAGATGACACCCGAAGGGCACTTGTCTCTTTTCACATGCCACTTAACGGCTGGTTAACGACAAATACTGGATTAGCACATTTTGAAAGTTTGAATACTGAATTGTTACGTTTTAAGGTTCAAGGACCAAAGTGGCACTAGGCCCAAAGTATTGGGTATTAATCAGTTTTTTTCCCTTTAAAATTTTTTACATATGAGCTCCAAAAACCTTACATATATCTGTGCTTCCTTATATTTCTCTCCTTAAACATTTATTTTTTGGGTAAAAGAATTAAACCCTCTCCTATATTTTCAAAATGGACTATTACCTTCCCTGTCAAACGTTTTATTGTTATGTTTAACAAAATGATCAAAAAGACAAACATGCCCTTGATAGATTAATGTTGGGTTTAAAGTAGAGAATTTGTGTCCCATCACCGTTATCCTCAATATGTAAAAAAGGGTAAAATATATATAAAATACTAATTTAAATAAAATAAATAGTATAACTTAAAATTGAAGGGTAATGTGTCTCCTTCCCTCCCTCTCTACAGTCGGGCAAAATCAGAGAATTTGTGTTTTCTTTCTCTCTAATCGCAAGTTTCTCCTTCCATCCCTCTCTACTGCCAAAGTCTCCTAGTCTCGTATATTGAATTTTTTTTTATTGATCTGAGGTTAAAATGGAGATCTAAGAGGTGAACGGAGGAGAAAAATTAACAGAAAAAGTGCAGCAGGGGGTATGACATGCAAGTTGTGTATTAAATCATGGTGAGTATATTTATTGGCCTTATTTTCAGATTAAATTGTTAAAACATAAATTTCAAAAGTTGAAGAAAATATTGCATGGTGATTGAATTCCTCGAGGAATTGGAGCTAGAGGGATCATGTTGTTTGCTTCTCCTCAAAGCTTCCTATGCATCAATGGTTGTCTGCTTCTCATCAACTCTTGCATATATCACAGCTTCTAGATCAACTTTAAAATTCAAATATTTGCATTTACTTTTGTGTGTACTCTATATTTTTTCTATAAATTCTAAAATTGACTTTTTAATTTGTTTACAATAATCGAATACTCCAAGAACTATATACTGTTTTCACTTGTTCTACTTGGAGTCGGTTGATTTTCTTGCAACTTTAAGAGTATTGTGCTTGCTCCTGATGGGAGGAATAGAACTGCTTAAAGCTAGGGAGACAAACAGGGTTTTGGCTGTAGAAAGGCTGAAAAAGAAAATTGGGGAATATGACGAGGGAAGCATGGCACAAAGCAATGGTTTTCTTTATTAATATTTAGGGGGTGTTCTTCTTTCAGATTTTGAAAGGGGGAAAGTTGGTCAATGGGATTTTGGTTCCTATTGATCAAGAATCCCATGTTCTTTTTTCAGATTCATGTGGGGATAAGGAAAAATTTATTTTCCTGGGTATCACTTTCCTAGGTGGATAAATAACTTTCCCACTTAGAGGGAAAGTTGCCAACACTTGAATGGGACAAAAATACTCTTTTTAATAATGAATTTTTATGACTAAAATGGTCATTGCCTTATTTACACAACAAATAAAAGAAATGGATAAATACACTTACCTGAGTAAGTGTTTCACAGGAAAAACTTACCCAAATAACTGTATTTACCGGGATAAATAACTTAGAAAAGAGACCTTAATACTTTTGCAACGATGAATTAAACGTCGGCAGCAGTGAGTCTTTGTGAGAAGTAGCTCTTTGTCCAATAAAATTCATACAGGTAGTTGAAGCCTAAACTTAAGGGGCAAACTTGGGTTTTTGGGGAATATTTAACGCACACTTAACGTCACATGCGGTGTTTTGATGGAATCCTAACCGACAGAAGATTTTGTCTGATGTCATCAAATAATAGGGGAGCTATTAGTCCATTTAAAAAGGAGAGGGGAGGCCTTAGGTTTTAGCATTAATATTAGGGGAGGTTTTTAGTCCTTTACCGTTTTTCTCTCCTCGATTCAGACTTCAGACCCTTTATTTTCTCATGAGGGAAGATGTCTCCGAAACGCTCATCACTTCTTGACAATCCACCACATTCCTCTTCCTTGTCCGAAGATGTAGAAGAAGAGGAGGAACCAAGGAAAGTTGAAGAAGAATAGCCAATACAGACCAATACATTTCGACACATGACTGATATGCATGCATCTCTTGTCTTGTTTAAAAAGCACTCTTACAAAGATTCAAACTCAAGTCATGGCACCTATGCCACTAGGCACTAACATTCTAAGCCACAATGCCATCATTCAACTTGTGATATCAAGTGAAATAAAATACACTTTATTGATTTCATCATTAACATGAACCTAGACAAATACTTTATGTTTATGTTTAATAATTTTAACTAAAAATAATAAATAATATTGAAATTTATTATTTTATAAACATTAATGAAGTAAACAATCTATCAAATTTATATTTATATGAAAAATTGTTTTTTACTCTTAATAAATTTATACAAATAGAAATATTAATAATATATAATTATTTTAGTACTTAAATTTCATAAATTTGTACATTATATGTATCTTCAAATTTTAATATTTGTTTATAAATTATTCATTGATATTTTAATTTAGATTAAAAACAACATATTTATTATTTAAAAAATAAAAATTTTGTTTACAAAATATTTAAAAATATAATATTAAATTGAATTTATCAAACCCACTAATTTAAATTTATATAAAAATGATTTGTTATTTCAGAAAAAACTATAGAAAATAAAAATGTTAGTAATGGAATCACTACTTTAATAATTAAAAATTATGAATTTCATATGATATGTATCTTAGAAATTTTAATAATTTTGATATACTTTTAGTTAAGATTAAAAGTAAAAATATGATAATAATATATGTATCTTAGAAAAATTATAAATTTCATATGATAGTAATTTTGATATTATCTAACATTTCAAAATATTTAATTGACGTTTTTGTTAATGTTGAAAAGTAAAAGTAGAAAATAATTGCTATAGTAATTAAAATATAATAATTACATATATTTTGTGTCTTGGACTTAATAGAGTTTAACATAATAATGGTTTTGTGCATTTTTACTATGTAAAAACTATATAATATGAGTCTTGGACTATTGATTGTTGGATTATCAATAAAATTGTATGATAGTTATGTATCTTGTTATATTAGTAATATATTTTTTATATATTTATATTTTATTTGTGGCTATTTTGACTTTTAAAATTAGTATAATTGATATATTTACAAAATTGGTATCATTTTCTAACATATGTACATGATTTTATATCTTTTATTCATATCCATATGTTTTCAAAATGTATTCCTATCTAAGGGGATGTTTGGAACCGTGGCTGTTTTTTGAAAAAATGATGTCACATCAGATCTACATAGGCATTTCGACAAACGCCTATATATATAAATGTTTGGTTTAGACGTTTATTGAAAAATCGGGCATGCCTCATAAATCAGGACCCCACTGATGTATATCCCCCAACAGTTGACTGCTATATATACTATGAGATGCTTAACTGTGAGCACATACATGAAAAACAGTGATGAAAATTATCTTGGCATTTTTTCTTGAAAATCCTCACACATAGGCCCAGCTTCCCAACACCATTAAAATGTCCGATACAATACCCGATTGACAAAAAGAGGACAAAGAATATAAGAATATGATGAACACGAGAAGGTTTCTGCCAAGAATCCCACTTGAAAATCTGCGCCCACTCCAAATACTGTGTCAGGCCGTCAACCCACCATCCCTCCGATGATGAAGAGTTCGATTCTCAAGAAGAGTCCGGTTCTGATTCTAAACCATCACCCGGAAAACACCACCAGCCAGCTCGAGGTGCCAATCCAAACGTAAAGCCTATGGACGACACACCCAAGCCCAAGAAGCCTCCGATGAAGCCAGGATCTGCTTCTTCTCCGGCATTGAACAGCCCCACAAGATCTACCACGACAGAAAAACGCCCCATGGAGGCTGATAAGGAGGGGAACAGAGGCCTCAAGAATAAAAAGAAGAAGGTCTCGGACGCCGATGAGAACGGGTCGGTCCAAGTAGAAGAAACTGAGAAGTCTGGGGACGATGCCAAGAAGCAATTGTTTCAGAGGTTGTGGAGCGAGGACGACGAGATCATAATCTTGAAGGGTATAATCGATTACTCAAGGAAAAGCACTGACCCATGGACTGACATGGCTGGGTTTCATGAGTTCATCAAGAAAGTACTCCACGTTGATGTAAATAAGAACCAATTAGCTGATAAAATCCGTCGATTAAAGAAGAAGTACAAGACCAATGTGGGCAGAGGGCAAGGGGGCAATGACCCTCTTTTTTCTAAGTCACATGAATCCAACGTATTCGAATTGTCCAAGAAGATATGGGGTTCTGAAGATAATGCTGCTGGTAATAATCAATCTACTGATGATGGGAAAACGGGTAAGAAACAGAAAGCTAACAATGCTGTGGGCTCGGCTCAAGTAAAAGTTAATTCTTCGGGAGAGGCCCCAAATGCCGCAGTGAAGGCCGATGAAGAGATAAATTGTTCTATGTACCCATGTGTAATGGAATCTTTTCGACTTGGCAAAATTGCGGAATTGCCAGGGTCGGATCTTGGAAGAAGGTTTGGGTTTGATGGGGAACTCGAAGGTGAAGGAATTGGACGAGAGGTGGAGGAAGTTACATATGGCAGAGATTTAGATGTACCTGAAGCGGGTTGATTTGTTTAGGGACCAATTGAGGATGTTGTATGATGCTCTTGGATCCAAAAAGTCAGGTAATTAGTAGTTGCTAGGTTGTTTTCGGCCAATGTGGAAAAAACAATATTACTTCTTTTTGTTTTTCTTTCTTTTCTCTTCTTTTACAGCAGATGAGGGATTGATTTATGTTATATTGATTATTCAGGAAATGGCTCTTTTTTTATCCCAAAATTGCGGTTGATGTTACATGTTAAATTTTGGGTGAGAAAATATACTCATTAAAACCAACAAAGCAGAAACCATGGAATTATCAGCACCAACACGACCAACAAGGACTCACTGAAGATGCCAGACAAACACAAGTAGAGGAGGAGAGAAAATAGAACTACAGAAGAGAAAATTTGTAGCGGAACTAGTTAACAGTAACAGTGATTCAATTACCGGCACCAACACAGCCAACAAGAATGCAGACTGAAGGTACCACCAGACAAGCACAACTAAAGAAGAGAAAGAAACTACAGAAAAGAAAAAACAGTAGCAGAACTAGTCACCAACGCAGTGATTCTATGACTTCACACAATGTCTTGAATCCAAATAGGAGCCAGAAAAGATAAAATGGAATTCGTGCTGAGATATGGCCATGCAGTGCAATGAAGTAAATAGCCTTGTTGCAATCATGAGACACAAAACTGAAAACCACCTGGATATCTTTTGTTAGATACAGAATATATTTGACCAGATAGATTAGCCCTTTCTTCAATTCCTTGTTCTTTTTGGATAAACTATTAACCGGTTCTAAGGTACCATATTCTAAAATGATGTTACTGCAGCAAATTATTTGACAGGGTTAGACCTTCAAAAAGAGATTTTGCATCTGCTTGTGGTGGGGACGATGCTCTACACATTCCTCATTTTGCTGCTATGAAAAACCTTGACTATCTCTGCTTAGTGCTCCAAAAGCAGCCATATCATTTTCACTAAGACCACCTTCTGAGTTTACTTTGAATCACCCTTATTGAGGCAGCATCCAAAAAGAATTAGATGGACTTCAGTGGTTCAATTACCACTTAGAGTCTTAGAGGATAGTTTTGCAAGTTTCTCTCCATAGTTGATCTGCTGTCCTGTTTCAACCTGCATACATAAAAGAAGCATCATAGGATTTGGATCAACAACATTAAAAACTTCATTGTTTCTAGCTTTCCATATGTTCCAAAGCAGCCAACATAGTCAAAATTTCTTTTGCAGACATTTTTCCTGATAGCATATTGATCCCAGACTTTAACCACCTCTTAAAGGCTGGATATGCATCCAACACATCCATCTTTAGGCCTCGCAGACTTCTTAACCCCAAACAATGAGCATGTGTCACTGATTCTAGATCCCTTTTGCAAATTTTGCAAGTAAGCAATAGTACATTCTTTTGCAAATGTCTTCCTATTGCATTGCAGCAACATCTCCAAAGAAAGGTTTTTATGTTTGGTTGGACTGGAATGGACCGAATAGCCCACCAATGCTTCTTTATGAGGATATTGTTGTCATTTCCACTAGGTTGTTTCATTTTTTGATAAGATAATATTACCAACTTAACTAGGAACTAGTGTCTGGAGTCAAATATCCAAAGCAGCCCATCCAGCCAATCAAAGATAGCCAGTTCAATACTAAGGATTTTTATGCAGCCTTACCCCCGCACATACAGGGAGGCTGTTTCGAAGATTTGAACCCTGGTCACCCAGGTCACAATGGAGCAACCTAACCGTTGTGCCAAGGCCCACCCTCATTTTATCAAATGGGGATCCCTAAAGCCAAGTCGTCCATCCAGCTTATTTTTCAAACTCTTCCCCAATTTACCCAATTGATATTATTGTTATCAATGTTTACCTAGTTGATCTTCTTTGATCCTTCATTTCTTCCCCCCCTTTTCATTTTGCTAACCCCCTCAACGAATTGTTTTGAAAGTAAGAAATAAGACATCACATATGTTGGAATGATTGTCACACAACCTTATGGCACACTTCTTTACCTGTTTGAGAGATTGAGAGAGCCCTGCCACCTTCTTAACTTGTTTGCTACTCTTTCCTCAAAATAATTGAAGCATCTTTTCTTGTACCTTCCTTCCAAATAAATGGATGTTTTTTAACCACTTTAATTTTTATAGGTTTTGCCACATTTTTTTCCCTATGGTGCATATTTGAACTGAAGAAAACTTTACTTGCAATAATTCACCTATCGACCAGAAGCTTTGAGTTAAATCATTAATTTTTGTTGGAAGGACTTCAGAGAAAATGAGGAAGAGGTTGGGTAAGAGGGGTCTCCTTGTCTTGATCCACAAGTTGGAACAAATTTCGTTATTGGACAGACTGTTAACTAACACTTCGTAAGAGATGGTGGAAATGTGTTAGTTTATCCATCCAATCACTTGGAGCCAAAACTCATATTTTTCATTGTCTATTTCAGAGATTTCCATTCCATTAAACTATAATCCTTATATCCATTTTTATAGCCATAAAACCATTGTATAGTGGTGATAAGTGTTACATATTTTTTAACATGTATATTTTTCATCCTTCCAAATGCCTTTTGTCCAAAATTATTAATCATACAGGTTTAGTAAGATGTATGCTTGTAATTATGGTTTTTTCCTTGTATGATTTTTTCCGGTCAGCTCTCCTTTATATTAAGGGTCACAGTATTTAGCATGAGATTGCTGCATCACTTGGCGGGATTTTACCTATAATCTCTGTGTATTACCATAATTTTCAAGGTACCAAGGTGAAGGTAGGTGATAGGGGAGTGTCCTGCGCCTATCTATCCTAGGCGCAGGGCACTCCCCTAGGATAGTCCCCTAGGTGTTTCATAATAACCTTTAACTAATAGTTTCCATAATCTTCATGAAACAAGTATAAACCCCATATCAAAACATAGAAAATCAACATATTTATGAGAAGAAAAATAAGAAAGTAAAGAAAACACACAAAACATAAGGGTTAATCCCTTGTTTTGGTCCTAGTAAGAAGAAGTCCTATCGATTATTCTTGTGTGTCTGGATAAAATCTTCAAGCTATTTTGTTCTTATCAATTCAGGTTTTAAAGTCCTTGTTAACAGAGAAAGAATAGAAGAAATAGGAAGAAGAAGAAGAAGAAGAAGAGAGGAGAGAGAAGAGAAGAGAAAGTTTTTGGAGAGAGTATGAGTTCTGGCGGCACCAGAATATTTTATTATCACTTAAAAGAAGAGAAAAGACCCTTATGCCCCTGCGGTACTTACAATGCATAAGCAAGATAAAACTGAACTATTTTAACATAGTAAACAGAAAATGAACTAAACTATTCCAACACTTCCCCTCAAGTTGGGACATGGATGTCAATCATGCCCAACTTGTCACATAGTTCATTGTGCCGCATGTGATGAAGACCCTTGGTGAAAATGTCTACAATTTGTTCTTTTAAATTGACATAGGGAGTGCATAGCTCTCCACTCATAAGTTTTTTCCTAATAAAACGCTTGTCCACTTCAATATGTTTCGTCCTATCATTAAGGACCGGATTGGCCGCAATGTTGATAATAGTTTTATTGCCACGATAGAGTGACATAGGGCTATTTCTACTTCAGCATTGGATCTAGCTACCACACTTTGTTTATTATTTCTCTAGGTGACTAAATTTAGGGGTGAGCATTCAGTTTATTCAGTTAAACCGAATTTTATTAATATTATACTAATACATATTATATTATATTATATTATATATATAGATATATATATTAATATATTTATATATATATTATAATATATGTATATGTTAATGTATTTTATATATTTGGGTAAATCTCTTAAACTACCCTTATTGTTCATGAAATTGACAAATTGTATTCTTACTATTTAGATACTGTCTTGTGCTACCTTCAAGTTTTCTAACAAATTAACAATTGTCTAACACCTCCATTTCCGTTAATTTTCTGTCACACTCCATTCACATGTGGCATCACATGAGTGTTAATTATTTTAAAATTCCTAAAATACCCTTATTCGGTACAGAATTGAAAACAATTTTTGTAGAAAAAATAAAAAAAGGAAAACAATTTACCAGGAGTATATGGTTTACCGGAGCTTATCTAAATGCATCAGTTCAGTAAAGAAACGGTCACCAAAGAAGGAGTATACGGTTTACCGGAGCTGGTTCGAAGGAGCTTCGTCACCAACTCCTTCGACTATCGCTCCCCCCAGATCCCAATCGATTTAAATACAAGAGAAAAAAAGCACCAAAACGAGGCTTACCTGATGATGTCTTGGCCTGAAATCGTTAAGTGAACAGAGCAACTGGGATAGAAGAAACGACGCTTCAGGTCCTTGATTTTTTACCGCAGTCACAACTCCCTTCTTCCTCCAATCCAACGACGAAGGCGCGTCGCACGAGGACAACTTCCTCAACGAATTCTTCTTCCTCTTCTCCACCGGTTTCTTTATCTTCGACAAATACTTCTCCCTGAACTCTTCATTACAAACGACAAGCCAGTAGCAGTGACATGCCGGAGCAAACTGCAAAAGGGGAAATTGAAAGTCGAGTACCGATGCTTGGGCCACCGATGATCAATCCAAATTCTCGATGGCCGATCAGTTTCTCGCCATCGTGTCTGTTTTTTTGCTTACACACCGGAGCAGTTACGAGTACTACCCCAGCAAAGTTCGAGAACGCAGGTGTCGCCTGAGTATTATGACGAATCACCACTTCATCAGGCTCTCAATTCTTACTTTTAGAAGAATATGATGATATCGTCCCCTACATCGACCCTGATATCTGCTCCGATGTCCCCGCCATCCGACTCGCCACCCTTGTCACCGATTAGCCCATCACTCTTTCTCAATTGACGATGACGATAGAGAACATGGGGCATGTGATTAGTTTTGGGAACGAGGTAGAAGATCCAATCTGCCGTTGCAACGTTGTAGCAGGGGCCTGATCCTACTCGATGACAATGACGATAGACAGAAAAATATCAGAGAGAGAGAGAGAATCCCTTGGAGGGGCGCCACCGCCGCTATTTTTCGTTCGAAGGAAGCAGGGGATGAATGAGAGAGAATAAGAGAATAGTGAAATATAGAGAGATTGATAAAGAAAAAACGAGAGAAAGAAAGTGGAAGCGGAAGTGGAGAGAAAGAAGAAAGAGGAGAGAAAGAAAGTGCCATCTGCCGTTGCAACTCGTCGCAGCGGCGGTGACCAAACAAGGAAGTGGAAGCGGGAAGAAGAAAGAGGAGGAGAGAAAGAAGAAAGGGAGGAAGAGAGAGAGACTTGACCGGAAATC